GTATGCATGCAAGCAGTTTACCAGGGAAGCAGCAGGTGCTTTGCTGTGCTGCGCCAAGAGAGAAAGACCCAGCAGCAGCTCTGCGTGCAGCAGTTTGTGCTGCTGCATGCGGGTAGCAGCGGGAAAAGCAGCAGCAGCAGCAGCAGCTCCAGCTGCTGCTGCTGCTGGGGGAAGCTGCAGAGTGTGCTGCAGTGCTGCATCTGTGGGGTTGCTGCCAGGCGATGCGTACATACACCGCAGCAGCACGGCGAGCGGCTGCGCCCCTATTCGATCTAGTGCAGCAGCAGCAGCAGCAGCAGCAGTAGGAGTGTTAGCCGCATCTGCTGTTGCTGCTGCTGCTGCAGCTGCTGCTGCTGCTGGTAACGAAGCAGTGTCTGATCGGGTGTTGATCCCATTTTCGCTCGCCGACGCTGCTGCTGCTGCTCCCACCGTTGCTGCTGCTGCTGTTGCTGCTGGTGCTGCTGATTGTGTGAGGGCCTTCAGCGCAGCAGCAACTGCTGCTGCTGCTGCATCTAAAGCTGCATGCAGTGTGGGGTCTGGCAGGCGAAGAGCAGCAGACAAATACATGCAAGAAGCCAGGTCCTGAGGTGTACATACACCGCAGCAGCAGCAGCAGCAGCAGCAGCAGCTCGTGCTTCCCGTCATGGCTGTTGCTGCTGTGTGGGTGGACACGCTGCGACAGCAGCAGCAGCAGGTACAACAACAGGACGAGCAGCAGCAGCAAAAGAACAAGCAGCAGCAGCAGCAACAGCTGCAAGGGCAGCAGCAGCAGCAGCAGCAGCTCCTGCTGCTGGAGGTACCTCAACGTGCTCTCTGGAAAGAGTCGTCGCGCCTTGAAGCTGCTGCTGCTGCTGCTGCTGCTGTTGCTGCGCGGAATCAAGAGCTTCTCGCTGTATTTGCTGCAGACGCAGCAGCAACAAATTGCTGCACGCATGCAGCACTTGCCAGCTGCTGCTGCTGCTGCTGCTGCCTGCTACTCTCCAGACAAACCCTAGGTCTACTGCAGCTCCAGATGCTGCTGCTGCCTCTCCCGCGGCTGCCGCTTCTGCTGCGGCTGCTGCTGCCTCTGCTTCCGCCGCTGC